ATTATTATTATTATTATTATTATTATTATTATTATTATTATTATTATTATTATTATTATTATTATTATTATTATTATTATTTTATTATTATTATTATTATTATTATTATTATTATTATTATTATTATTATTATTATTATTATTATTATTATTATTATTATTATTATTATTATTATTATTATTATTATTATTATTATTAATTATTATTTAATGATATATTGGTTTGGCAATAAATAATTAAAAATTTTAATCATTTATTACTGTTGCTTATCAATCTTATTTGTATACCAATTATTTAATTCCACACTATATTACTATACATGCGCTTTCAAATACTTCATTTATACTATCATCTCATTTATTATTTTGATCACTACAAAACTCAGCCCATTTTTATTATCTGTTTTATTATTCTTTAAAATAATTTAATTTATTATACTCCATTCGATTTGCTCCAATAATTATGAATCATTTTATTATCCTTTATTTATCTGAATATCAATTACAGTATCATTTAAATTCACCAACATATTATGACTTTTCATTATCAAAATATGTTCTTATGTAAATAATCAAATAGCAATCAGTAATCTAATCATTAACTATTTATCATTTTCCTTACAATACATAATCTTAACTGCATGTTTTAAAGAATACTTAAATATTACCCTAATCAATATTTCAACTGCTGCTTCTTTCATTAAAATAATTCAAATTGAATTTAAATTTTTCTTTCGGCAGAAGAAGATGAAGATATAGAACAAAGTATCAGTAGTATTGGTTGTTTGATGGGAAGTCTTGGTCTAATTATAATGTTATTCATTGGTATCGCATTGGTTGTATTTCTGATTGTATTAGTATTAACAAATTGTTTCGGTCAACCGGAATGTTTATGGCTTAAAGTTTTGAAATTTTTTTAAAAATGATGTGGAAAATTCATTTAATGATCAATAATTCATATAACATTTCCAATGATATGTTTGATATTTTTATATGCATAATTCCAAGCAAAATTATAAAATTAATGTTTCGAAATCACAAAAATTTCTTCATTTTTGATTTGAAAAGGAAAAATAAATAAATTCTTGAACGATTCATTGTACAATTTCATTAAACTAAATGTTCACTATCCATTACAAATAAAACTTTGATTCCATTGATTCCACTCTCCATTGAATTTCATTGAATTCATAATGATTCCGCTCTTCTCATCTGAGCTATTTCAATTAAAATTCATTCTATCGATCTGATTAAAAATTTAGTAAGAAATCTTACTACCATATTATTGGATTGATAATAACAAATAGCAATTTAGCAAACTTGAAAACATTTGATAATTTGCTTAAGCGTCAAACAAATATCAAAATACATTTTCATCATTCGTGAGTTAATATTTTTTCCTTAAAATTCAGTGAAATTTATGAATTTTCTGACTGTTATGAAGAAAAAAATACTAAAAAATGATGAAAATGTATGTCAGTTGTTGAGGTTTCCCAGTCATTAATATGAATTAATAATTCATTAAAGTATAAGAAGAATATAGAATCAGCTACCAATAAGTTACGTTTACCACAACAACCGTACAACAGTATACCTTAGATAATGGCAAGTATTGACATGAAAGCAATTAAACATTTAAAGTTAGTTGAATAAGTCTGAAAATATTGGATGCAAAAATATGCAAATTAAATAATATCAGAAAGAGATGGACAAAAATAGATATTTTTGGATATTTATATGGTAGACATCAGCTTTGCTAAAGAATGTTGCAACAAATTTACTACAAAAATAAATAAATGAACAATTAAATCAGTAATGAAAAAATGTCAAGATATGTAACTTTTGCTTTTCACATAATAATAATAATAACTGCCTAGTACCTTAGGTAATATTAGACGACTATTATTTTTGATACAATTGGTTATTCTATTACTATTACTGTATGACAACAATAACAGTAATACAATTAATAATCCGAAATATGACAATATGGTAATTTTCGATCAGATGAATAGACAATGCTCATTTCTTATTTCGCTATTTATTTGAACTCAATTCTTTTCCAGAGAATGGAACTATGAGTGCTCGGATTATATAAAAATTCAGTGAAACAGCAAAAGTTTCATCGCTGTGAAATTATTTAACAAACAAACTACACTATAGACATACAAAGAAAAAAAAAAAAAAGAAGAAAAAAGGGAAAATAAGAAAAGAAAAACAATGGTTTTGGCCTGATTTCATTGATTGTATGCAAAAGAAGAGTGGTTTAGGAATGGGAGAAGAAGAAAGACAATGGTGAAAATTTTGGAGAGGTTCAAAAGATCAACCAAGATGGAACTGTTCGATTAATATCAAATGACATGCTATAACATTTCCTATACTAGCATAGAGATATTACTGTACTAAAAATAAGTTACAGCAAATGATGATCAAAGGAATGAACTGAAATCAGACTTAACGGCCATATGCAATGTTCACAAATTGACAGAATATTCCACTGACAGAAAATGTTATTAATCAAAATCCCTAATTTTCTCATAAGGTAGAAGTTGGCAATAATAATCATCTGGTTCGGCAATTTTTTGCAATAAACATGTTTGCTTTAATTTCGGATTTTGTATAAGATTTTTAAAATAGGTACATGGCTTATTACCATAACCAGGCATGAGTAAATCAAAAAATGCCGTACCATCTTCAAGTGGTACCAACGAATGAATGTTACCAAATTTAGGGCTCAAATATACGCAATCATCGCTATGCCAACGATTACTGATACCTTCAAATCTGCAATATTTAAACTTATATTTATGAAATATTATTTTAAAAAAAAAGAAGCGTGAAACCTTAAATAACGTCACCAAGTTTTTTACTGGTGATATTACTCAAAGCTACGTGTTTTGTAAAAGAGAATAAAAAAAGGATTTTTTTTCTCTTCTATTGAAATGAGCACTGAATATTATCATACGATGTAAAAATCACAGCATTAAAAGACAACGATCAAAAGATATATATTCATCAGAACTCCTAAAAGGAACTCCTAAAAACTCCTTATATATCATCAGAACTGCTAAAAGTTAATCAGTCAACTTAGCAATTCTGATAGTTGTTTTATAATTCCTTAAATAGCCTCTTAATTTTGAGGGAACGATTCCATAGCTAACAATGTAAACCTCTCTTAGAACTAGACATGTCATTAGATCTTCATGGAAAAACACGGAAAGACACACGAGCTAAATGCCTTCACGAAAATATAGAGTATTCGCTAAGAGGGGAAAAAACCATAAAATCCTAAAATTATACAAATGAAAAAATGAAATTATACCTGGCTATCGTAACATTAGATGACAGACCGTTCGATTCTGTTCGTTTCATTGCTTCTCGTTCACCATGAGAAAGTTCAGTATATGAATTAATTGCTAGGGCACCACGAAGAACCTTTACAAATCCGTACATATCTGGATGATCGTGTAACGGGAACGAAAAGTCACAACTTTTGAAACCAAATAAACAAGCATGAATATTTTCCGATTCATAAATATCAACATAATACATTGGAGCAGTCATCGATTCAAGACCTGTAATGTATCACATTTTTTCATATGAAATGATTAGTTGCATTTCCCTGAAAGAAGAATCCTACAAGACAAGCAAATTGAATATGTTTTACCAGTATTATTCAGAGATATCCAATCATTCATACATGACATCCATTTTTGCATCATTAACGTTAAGTTATTTTTTAACTCTCAACTATATGAATTGACGTTCAACGGATATGAACACGATGTACATGATGGATTTGGGAAAAAAAAAATCTATAGTTCCACCTGTCGAACATTCCGTTTGTTAAACGATCAGTTCTTCAGAAGTATGATTTTAATCGACGATATCTTCGTCGATCTAAATTGATGAAAGCTATTAGGAATGCATCCCATTGTAAGTCCAAATCATCCGTCTATTTCCATTCATACACTAGCTAATGTAGTGTTAATATTAAATTGAAATCTTTAAACATATTAGTGTTGAAAATAATCTTTGTAAAACAGACCAAGACGATCCGGAAGAACTGCACCAATCATATCCAGATTAACAGTGGATACAAGACGACGTGCGCGTTCGGATAACGTTTCCGTTTCAGCCGTATAAGCGTCACTACTGTCTGTGATAGTGTCTGATAACTTCAACTGAGCTAATCTCTCAGATATTGCCGATACTTCACGTAGGAACGAACGTAATCCTTGTTGTGACATGACTTTTGAAAAAATCATAGGTTGCTGTTATGTTCAGAACGTTCATGAAAAAAAAAAGGAAAAGAAAAAACAGAAAGAGATTAATAAGCAATAAAAAAAATCTGAAATCGACTAACTAAAATTAAATTAGAACTATGTTACAATTATTCGAATACATTCCAATTAAATACCGAATATGCTAAGAATTTTCAATCTATTGAAATAACATGTATGAAATTAAATGAAATGGATAAAAAATTGAAGTTAAAGGAAAATAACATAAATCTAAAATTTAAAATCCAACTAGCAAATATTTAATCAAAATTACATTAATACAAATACCAAACATTTCTAATGTTTCACAGCTAGATTTCATATACCAACATTTAATCCAAGAAATAACAATGAATTTAGGATTAAAGTAATTTCAAAATTAGTAGTATTTGACGTCAAAAAATCAAATAATAACTGTAGTAATTAATTCAATAATTAATGCCTAATAATGATGAGCTAGTAATAATTAGAAACTACTATTATTAATAATAATACCTGATAATAATTAAATCTAAATATTACATTTACACATGCAATTATTTTTTTCTTTTGCTTTTTGATAAATTAAAATAAAATTCATATCGTGAAATGTTTCAACAAATATTAGATAAATAAATTGGAAGGAAAAAGGAAAGAAATGAATGAAAACTTCGCACATTTTCTTCTAATATATCAACAAAAAAAAAAACCGAAAATATTTTATTTCAAAAATACTGTTAAAAGTTCATTTTTGAAATAAAATATTTTTTCAAAAATTAAAATAATATAATGATATTAATCATCAGTGGATGGGTAAGAGAGGTTTTAAAAAGAAAAAAAAAAAAGGAATGAAATGAAAGGAAAGGAAGAATGTAATGCATAAAAATGACTAACATATGGATGATAAAAAATATTATTGTTAATTATCATTAAAATACAAACAGCAAAAGATATAAATATTAAAATTATCACTATTTTATATTTGAAATTACACTTATACTTATATATACCATATGTATGTATACCAATAAATTGTACATATGTATAATCTCCGTGCTATCAAATACCATGCTATCGCAGGAGAAGTTTGATAAGTTTGATAATAAGATTACAAATTATAGTAGAGGTAATTTATGCCTTTAATAGAGAAGTTCTATTATACTAGATAGCTCTCAATTGAATAGTCAGACAAATATGTCCAAGGGTAGGATGTACTTGCTAGCTTCCTGGCCTAGCAACCATCCTTCTCCAATAAAGAAAGGACAATTCTAACTGCAAACTTGGGGCAGACAGAGTTTGTTTAATTTAACCCTGTATGGCTATCCGTTATCCATCATAGAGAAGGATACTTTAACGAAACCTATGTTCCTGACAATTTTGCTGTCACCAACCTAGCTTACTAGGCTTTGACAAATGAATCTCTAGCAATAAAAGGGAATTGGGAACAGCTGAGCGCATGCTATACATTCTGCATCGGTCTGGAAAGATACATCTAACATTTGTAGCGTTTGCAGCAAGCGTTGGGTGGAAAGCTCATACCAAATATTCATTAACGAAGTCTAGCCATGATGATGGTGATGATGATGATGATGATGATGATGATGATGATGATGATATGCATGACAAATAGGAATGATTCGAAAAAAAAGAAAAAACTTTTAAAACTGTTTTATGTTCTTTTAAAACTTCTTTATCATAATTCATCCAATTGATAATATTATGATTATATTATAGTTCATTTATAATTTTCGATAATATCATAATTTATCCAGTTGTTGCTAAATTTGAAATTATTATTTTTTTCATAGCCCTTTTTTTTCTTTTTTTTCTTTTTTAAATTTTTTATTGTCATTTTCATAGCTGCTTTTTTTCTAGCAGAATGATGAATATTGTAAAAATCAATCGTATAAGTAAATAAGTACAGTATAAGTAGTCTAAGTAAATAAGTAAAGTAAAAACATATATTTAAATATACAAACCTAAACAAAGTAATTTAACAGTGATAACACAAGCAAATAAATGAAAAAATGAAATCGAAAAAAATAAATAAATAAATATTTACGGAGATGAACAAACAAACGAATAGATGCTTATACACAGACAGATTTATAAATAAATAAAATTCCATATGATTAATTAAAACTAATTAAATTATAAACAAATACAACAAAAATCACAAATGCCACCACTGTAATTGCCTGTATTAAAGAACGTAATATTTTTAAGCTAAAATATTCAAGAAGAATGAATGAAAATTGTACGTAATTCAATTGTAATGATGCAAAAGTTGTATGCAAACACCTGTAATTAGCATTCATTGTTAATAAGCATTAAGATAAGTCAGAATTAGAAAAAAAAAAGTGAATAAATACACGTCTAAATGATGTACAAAACAATAGCAAATACTAATTAAATGGAAATAAGAAGATTTAACAGATGAGTGAAAGTAAAAATTAATTAATTAATTAGTAAACAAATAAATACAGGAGTGCGCAAGTTTTTTTTTTTTTTCTTAATGACATCCTTTTACATTGAGGAAAGTTAAGAGGTAAACAATTGTTAATTAAATTAACATATAAGGAAAAATTATTTAGCAAAAAAAAAAAAGGAAAATAAGCAGTATCCAATCTTAATCTTAAAACTTTAAAGGCCCGTAAAATACAAACTTCGTTATAATTTAGCTTCTCGACGATGGACCAACTGGTTCTAATTCATTTTGATAATTTGAAGAAAATTATATTTGATTTTTTTTTTCCAATAAGTGTTTTCATTTTAGGAGATACTAAATGAGATATTTTCGTTTCTTGTTCATTTTTATTTTATTGTTTCCCTTTTAGTCTCTTCTTACAGTGTTAAATGTCGTACTGTATCCTACCGTACTACTATTTTGTGAAAATTTTTAATATCTCATTACTGAAATTTCATTCAAACGTTTTCTTTTCCATGAATATTTTTATCTCCCCTTTTTTTTTCTTTTTTTTTTTAGCGAAATGCTTTTATATTGTTTCTATTGATGTTATAATACACTTTCGATCTTTCATTTATAATTCTCTAATTAATGCTTTTTTTTGCAATTAATTATCAATTTTTTTTCTCCATATTTTTATGATATTTTTTGATAGATATTAATTTAGATTTGCTTCCTTCTCCTTACCTCTTTCTCTATCTTCCACTTCCTCACTCTCTCTTGGTTAAATGTATAAACAAAGCAAAAATGTTTTTTTTAATTTTGAGAATTTTTTTTTTGGAATTATATTTTAATTCTCTAAAATTTCATCATTTTTTGATATTTCTAAGGATTTAGTTAAGTTTGTTAAAGTGATAAGGAAGTAAATAATAGCAGGAATAAATAATGTTAAAGTGATAAAAATAAATAGATATTAGTGCCATAAGTGATATACATCGAGAAATCTTGAACCGTAAGTATAATGTGAGGATGATTTAATGATTGTAGAATGAACTATCGGAATTCAAAAGTTTTCATATAGTTACATTAGCAGGATAACATACTTGTGATTTTCAAATTAGCAATGCTATATAAAATTTCTGACCTACTTCTAAGTAATTAAGAAAGTTTATGGCATAAATTTATTAGAATGGTATACCATATAAATTTATTCTAATATTATACCATGTAAATTTATCAGAATGATATACCGTATGAATTTACCAGGTTGATTTGCCGTATAAGTTTACTAGGATGACTTGCCGTATGACTTTATTAGAATGATATGTTGTATAAATTTAAAAAGATAATATACCGTACAAATTTATCAGGAAAGTGTACCGCATAAATTTATCAGAATGACATATCGTTTAAAATTATTATAATGATACACCGTATAAATTTATTAGAATGATGTACTGTACAATTTTGCCTGGATGATATGCCGTATCATACACAGACTAGCATGAGAACTATGATAAATCGTACTTGTACAATCAAAAAGATAGCGAAAAGATGCCAAGTTAATATTCTCATGGATAGATATATTTTTACGGGTGGTTTTTTTTTTTTTTAAATTACTGTCCACTTAAAAAGTATTACTGTAATTGAAATTTTCTAAAATTTATTAAATAAAAGACAGTATTTCAGATGCAGATTGCGAATGAATATTGTGAAGCAGTGAGTGGTATTAGTAGCAAAAGGTGAATCACCTATGGGTACAAGTAATAATTGGAACAGTGATGTATTGGGTACGGTATGTTACAACATATCGTAGGATTGGCTGTATAGTATTATTTGTATTTTTTTGTAATCTCATCTTAATCGCACGATTTGTCGATTGGCAAATGCCACTGCGTCTAATTAATCTACAGGTATATTTTCATGTTTCATAACCTTTTTTTTGTTAAAGAAGCACTCGAATTTTTGCGACATTGTTTTGAAGTTTAAATTTAAAATTAATATTACATTGGAGTTTTTAAAATTTTATTCTAGGATTAGCGTTCAATTTCCTTAAATTTACACCAAAATCACTTAAATTTAATTTTGAAACCAAACTTTATCCAAATCTAAATTTTAGCGCTGTTCCTATTGATCTGTAAAATTCAATTTCTGAATTAAATTTGAGTGGAATTTTTAATTGAATCCTGAAATTAAATTCTTTAAGTAGTTATAAAACGAATTATTTATATATGAATAGTGGGATAATTATACCATTGGTACCAGTGGCTGTATACTTCCAAATGACTCATAATTTAAGGAAGTGCATTGAAGTTAAATAAGTCTTCAACTATTGCTTCTAATGAACTGTTAACTAAATGGGTCATTAAATAATACATCAAGTGACTAAAGTGGGTGTGGTACAGTAATAACCGAAGCACTCAAAGATTGCGCCTTTTTTTCAACTAATTTTGATTCGTTTATCAGTTTTATCGAATTTTTGTAAAGATGGCAAATTGTTACAAATATAGGGTGTTAACGAATGAAAGGATAAATTATCAAATTTATATTCTATTTATTAAATAGGTAATGCGAAGAGTGCTGTGTTGAGTTAAGGATAAACTAAATTTTAATTTAGTAAAATTTAA